TGCTGGGGACTATTTTCAGGTGCTGCGTAATATCATTGCGCCTGCTGCACCCATGGCGCCTGCCAATGACGTAATAGCCCCTCGATTTCCGGTTTTGTTTTGTAGAAAACATGGAAACATCAAAGACGCTTTAATATGTTGTGCGTTTTAATAGACCGGTGACGACCGCACAGAGTAGCATTATAACAGAACTTTCAAATGTATCTAGTATGATAAAACAGTGCTGCTTTTTTTTCCCCACATACGCACGACCGGAAGGAGCGGAAGCGGTCGACTGTGGCATAATAAAAGCTCCGCTGCTTTCGAGCTGTGTGTCACGCTCGTCTCTCATTAGCAATTGCTTCAGCAGCCTCGTTTCGCTTCGACGGCTTTCAGCCTCACCCTGCTTCATACTACGACGTTAATAAATCTTTAATACATTAGCTCATCCATGAACATGATTTCTGCCCGAGTCCCATCGGATTGCTTCGGCTGTGGGGATGAAGACGACAACTCCCATGATTCCACACCCAGTCACGGCGTCATCTAACTACGCCTTTGTTTCTTTGTTTGTTTTGAATACGTGCCCTCTAGTGGAAAAAATTACATATTGTGCCTTTAACGTTAACATTTTTAAAATTTTGTGGAAAATTCATGGATGTAAAGAAATTAATCTCTTTCCACCAATAGACTATACATTTATACAGCTGGGTGGGTACAAATACATGGGGCTTGGTCTGCATAAATGTAGTACAATGATACACCAACATATTATATGCAAGGGTGTTTTTTTTTTTAAGACACATAGATCATGTACAGAAATTGTTGAACATACAATCAACATCTTTACTATTAACTCAATAATTATTAAAGTACCGACCTGAACCTTCTGAAGCAAACACATGCATTTCTTCCTGATGTCTTCATAAGGACACCGTTTGGAGAGCATGAGGACATGAGTCAGGAGAGCGCTGAGATCACTGGACAGACTGTCATTCATGGCTGGGGGAGAGGAGGACTGCGGGTCCGGTATCGGCCCCATGGTCTCTATTATCTTCATCACCTCCTGGTGAATGAGCTCCATCGCTGCGTGTCTGGAGCTGGAGTCTCGACTGCCCAGCGCATCCCACCTTCCCGCAGCATCTCTCACATCCATCACTGTTAACAGTCTACTATTCTTCAGTTATACACCTGAATGACTGAGCCATGCATAAGACAAAAATGTGTGCCAATTATTAATATAGCTAAAATAATCCTAAACCAATCATCTCTGCTTCAAGCTGGCAAAGGAATTCTGCAAATCCCTCCAAAAATGTTCCATATTATCCTGCTAGTATAAACAGACTTGCAAGTGCATGTCTTAGCAGGCATTATACGAATGATGTGTATTTATAATGTTCTGAATGCTATAACAAACAAAAGTTGTTAGGGTTTTTGTTTTCCGTTGTTTAAACAGTAGAACTGACACATTTTCAAATGTCTAGGGAAATAATTCTCCATAGCTTTTGCTATAAAACTGGTTATTTTACCAAAGAAACTGAGTATGATATTATACAGTAGGCACATTCTAAAAAACCGTTGAATGACGTTCTCAAGTTCTGTTATTAGCCATCAAGCATATCCCTCAAAGGTTACACAATTAATAAAGTCACAGGTATGGTCAGTAATTATTAAGCGCGTTCTATTTTTTTTAAAAATGTGCAAAATATGTCAGAAAAAAATACTTACTAAATTCACATTCTCTCTAGTCGTCCCCACTGCCGTTGAATGAAACCTTCCTGCGCTCTGGCTCTTCAGTCGATTTCAGTCCTTTGCACAGCGGCTTGAGTTAACAATTGATTGACAGTTACCACAGTCCAATAGTGTTCTACAAAAAAAGCTGATGGGCGGAAATATGCTCACGGCGCACCAATCAACGATTAGAAAGGCGTTCCTGTCAGGCCGCGCCTCCCAATGCAAATAAAAAGGGAATTGTAGTTCAGACGCTCGTTAATATCAACGTTCTCTTGGCGGCACAAATACTACGCAGAACTACAAATACCAATAGCCACAAAAAACATTGGTAACTGCAGGGGCACCGCCACCACTTGTTTATCTCAAAACCCTTATGATTAATGCAAAGCTTTCACCAGATATTCAGCTATATGATTCAAAGGAAATATGTGATCTAATCTCTAAAACAGAATAGCTTTGACTATGCCACCTCTTACTGTTTTACAAATATGAGCAATGGCCCTCTTCTTTGTTTCAAAGTTCCTCTGTATTATTATATGAAGGCATCCTCAATAAAAATAGAACTGGATGACAAGTAGAATATGTTTGTTGTCAACATGACTAATTCAGAAATAACTGGAAAGATAAGTTTAAATTTGTGGTTTTATTATTATTTTTATTTAATAACCTAGACCTTGAGGTTGTGCCTGGGGCAGTAGAATTCCAGCATTGCCAACTCACTTTATTGCTGAAAGTATGTCATCTATCTATCTATCTATCTATCTATCATTTCAATTTAAGTGTGCTTTATTGGCATGACAAAAACTATACATTTATATTGCCAAAGCAGATGCAGCTGGGCTGCTTACAAATAGTGCACATATCTATCTATCTATCTATCTATCTATCTTATTTGAATATATATTGAAGAAGCTGTGGTCATAGTGTGCATGCGGAACTTACGCCCACTGAGGGCGGTAAAAGAAGAGGGAAATTTGAAACTGGGCGGCGCTGTCGGCTACAGCTGTTAACAGGACACTTTCAGCTAATTCACCCGATGAATAGGCTGCATCATTTAGTCTTTCATGTGTATCGAAGAGACTAATTCATAATGGATCACTTCAGAGATCAGGTATAGATGCTTTATGCTAAATATCTTTATTGCGGTTGTTATTATTCTTAGCGATGTTTACATTGCTGTATCACAGTCGTTAGCCTTATTAGCTTATTCACATTTTGTACGTAACGTTAGCAGCCTAGAGAACAAGTTTTGGGTTCGTAAAACGTTTATTTAGCCTAGAAAGTACGTTAGCTGTCTAGGTTTCGACACACAGCCATTTAATTAATTATCCAGGAAATGTATCTTGACTTTAAAGTGTTACAATATATTTTTATACAACAATGTGGCTAACTTGCTTTTTCGTTAGTGAGTTTTGCTGTTTTCTGACTGCATTGTATTATTTAACAGCCATTTTTTCCTCTAAAGACGATGACTCGGTATATATAACTGTATTATTATCGTTCGCTCATCCAAAGTGTTGGTTTTCGCAATAAAAATGAATAATCTGTTCATTTTTGCTTTCTGGATTACAGAGTCTAAATCTGGACTCTCCATCTAAACAGAGTTATGTTGGCAGTTTTTACCAACCTCCAGAGAAGCTGTCAAGACCTCTGTACATGAACACAGCCACACATCCACAGGAAAGAAAGAGCTCAGGTGTGCAGGACATCAGCCCACAGCTTTATCAAACAGTGCCTGATGCTGGAAGCAGAGGTGAATTGAGTTATTAGATGCCGAGGACCATATTATGTAACCAAATATATAAAACCAAATGTAAATGTTTCCTGTGTTTGAACAGCAGTGATAGCAGCCCTGAAAACACTGCAGGAGAAGATGCGACGCTTGAAGCTGGAGAGAGTTCAGGCAGAGAGGAACGTCCAGCATTTCTCTAAGACTGTTCGACATCAGGCGGATGCTTCTGCACAGAGAGAACTGGATCACAGCACACAAGAGAATCACTCTACACAGAGGAAAGGTAAAAGTGTTCCACAACAGGTTTTGGTCTGTTTAAATAATAATTGGAAAGTCCAGTACTGTATTAAATTAGAGTGTACAAAGTTGTCTCTGTTTCTCTTCTTCCCTTCAGAGCTGGTTTCCAAACTTCATTCCACAGAAACACGCTGCTCTCTGCTGGAAAAACAGCTCGACTACATGAGGAAAATGGTGGAGTGTGCAAAGAGAGAGAGAATCACTCACACAGACAGACAGGTGAGCAAACAGACAAAAGCAAAAGAGGTTGTGCACTATATTCCAAGAGCTTAAACATTTAGTAAATTCTCATATGAAAAGATACAGCTTGTGTACAAACTCAAGAGCTTTTGAGCTTTCAAAGCCTCTCTTATTCTCTCTCTGTTTCTCCTTTTCTCTGTTCTGATTGGTTTTTAGGACTCCGTGTGTAGGGAAAGCACACATACAGACCCACAAATGCAGACACAGCTCAACAAATTGGAAAGACTGGAAAAAGAGTATCTAAAACTCACCAGTACACAGTCTATAGCTGAGGTACAAACATATGATATGCACATTGGCTAACCACCTGGGCTACATGCACTCAGGTAATTTGGGAGGGAAAAAAATCCACATGGACACAGTTTTCTTTTTTCAATCTGTTGTGGTGTCTTTCATCTACAGAGGAAGATTGAGCTCTTAGAACAGAAACTTTTAGAGGAGCAACATGAACGCAAAATTGTGCAGGAGAAAGCAGAGGAGGTAAAACAAAAAAAGAGGCAGAATTGCAAACATATTTTCAAAAAATAGATTTATAAATCATGTCAACTTTCCCCATAGAAAAAAATAGCTTTTATTAAAAAGCCATTTTTTTTAAATTTATGCATTCATGCCGTCTCATTGCTTTTCTTGGCATCAGTTGCAGCGAGAACTTAAAAACAATCTCCTCTCCCTTTCTGCTGTGACTCAACCTAAAGGCAAGAAAAAGAAGAAAGAAAAGGCCTCTTGCAAGGTAAAAAACAATGCTCTGCAGTAATGTATAGTGAGCACAAGGTGGCAGTATATTTACAGAACAGAATACTACAGATGTATTCTGCATTGAGTTGTGTTAATATTTTCTTCTTTCATATTATGTCAGAAGCCCTCCTCAGTGAAGGTGGAGGTGCCTCCCACTCCAAAGGCTAAACGCCTCACGTTTGTGGCTGGAACAGTCAGTATGACCTCACCCCGACACATAACTTGATTATTATTTACATTTATACATGGTTATTATTACACAAAAGTGGCAGTAAATACATTTATGGTGTTACAAAATATTTTTTCCCCCCAAATATTTATTTATATTCTATTGATTCTATTCATCAAAGAATCCTGAAAAAAGAAACACAATTTCCACAAAAATATTAAGCAGCAACTGTTCAGTATTTATGATAATAATAAATGTTATCTTGAGCGGTTTTCTCTCTCTCTCAGGCAACCAGTCCCAGTCACTCAGTCAATGCCAATGTTCAGAGTGTTTTGCACCTGATGAAGCACAGAAACCCACAGCTGTGTGAGAGAGTCAGCGCACTGCAGAAGTCTGTTTCTGAGAACCAGCGCAGACCTCCGTCCTCCCCCAGCACAGCAGCTTCCACACTGGGCAGCCTTTCTGATCTTCTGCTCGCCCTTCAGGATGAGCTGGGACAGATGAGCTTGCGAGTTACACTATCTTAACCATCAAGACTAGTTTTTGTAATGCATTGACAGGGACAGTAGGATACAATGTAAACATTGTGTGTGTGTGACAGGGAACACCAGGAGCTGGTCAAGCAGATAGACGAGACCTCTAAACAAGAGCTTCATGACGATCTGGAGCGAGAGCTGGACTGTTTGGTCAAGAGAATGGAGGAGAAAGCAGCTCAAATCTCCAAACTGCGCAAGCATCAGCAAACAGTACGTTTGTACTTTGTTACAGCTGAAGTTACACATTACAGTTTCAACCGTTTTTTTTAGTTTGTAATAGTATTTAAATAAAAACATCCTACAGAAAACACTGATGTATATCAAGCTGTTTTTGCTCCTGTAGGTTCAGAAACTCTCCCAGTCATCTCATAGCCCCAGGCTAAAGCAGCAGAAGCATCATAGGGCCGCCAGTGTAGAGCGCAAAACCAGGGCACAGAGTGGGGTACAACCACTGCCACCGTCCCCTGTCAAAGCCTCGGCCAGCACGGAACAGAAACAGAGCAGGAGCAGTCAAGAGTCCCTGAGGCTCCTCAGAGAGACACAGAAACTGTGCTCTAGCCTCCGCAGACAGGACATTGCATGGGAGACATAGTTACATTGTCCTGAAACACACATCCGGGGCTTAGAAGAGTTATAGCACCTCAAGAGAACACTGGAATGATACCTGAAATTTGCCCTCAGAAGATCAGAAAACACTGACTCATCTGATTTTACTCCAAAAACCTATATATCTCTGAATGACTCTGAGATTTTTAATTGCTTTTTATTTCTGTTAATATTTTTTTTTGAATATTTTGTAAATAAAATATCTACATATATTTATAGTACAGACCAACTTGGCTTCTTATTTATCTGTAGTCTAAACTTTGATCACTTTTCACCATCCAATGGATAGAATTAAGTCCTGTCATACAATCACTAAATAATGAAAAAAGGCCTGTTTGTAAGACTTTTTATTTATTTCACCTATTCCAAGTGTGAGAAAGTAACACCCGGAAAGGTAGTGATGGTGACGAAAAACGTGAGGGAAAAAAAAGTGTTCTTGCAGCATCAGCTTTTGTGTGGTTTCTTATGCGATTTACAATCAGCTGACACACAGTTTCCTACACAGTTTCCACAACAAAATGATCCCATTCTCCGATATCTGATCTTGTTACAACCACAAGTGACGACGGTCACCAGGTTTACACCTTGAAAAACCACAAATATGAAAAAATATAAAAGAGAGGAGAGCAGATGGCAAAAATGAACAAAAGCATTCTACATGTAACCAGGCAGAAAAGAAAAGACCGTTTTGTTCATACGGTCTTATTGGATTATGCTTTGTGACACAGTACAGATTAAATCAGTATTGCATAAACTCTTGAATACAGGAAGTACTGGCAAACACAATGTAATATCATTGATTCTTGGTGCTCACAATCCATGATTATGATATCGGCATGTTGACTGGTTATTACAGTGCATCATGCAAAATGTCTTTGTAATACTGCATTTCTCTTAAATGATTCATGACCTTTATAGTCATCTTTTCAGTAGTGTGATACGAGGGAAAACATTGAATCCCAACACATGCACATCCTGTCCAGAGAAGAAACCTAGGCATTTGATGCAAAGTAAGCAAGAATAGAGCTGACCCTCAGGGTGAGCGCATATCCTGTTAGTTAAACATTACAGTGTGTGTGTGTTTTAAGGATTGTTTTCTAGGACACAGGGACATTGAAATAGATTAAATATAGTCCAGGGATTAAAAGACATTTTAATGAGAATTCTCACTGGACTTATGTAAACTTTTGTTATTTCAAGGCTCTTTATTCTCAATAATAAGAGTTTCTCCACCTCGATATTCCTAGAGTATATACAGAGAGAGAGAGTTAATGTTTTGTGTGTAAAATAACTAAATACAATTATATACTGGACAATTATATCACCTCTAGCAGCTTTTAAAAAGAATTGCCAAAAGCATCACTAAAAACCTTTACACTGAAAAAAAAAACAATCCTTATATTCTGCGAACTGTCGCCTATGGAAGCCCATTTCCACTTCAGACGAGATATAAAGTAACAATTGTGAAAAATGCCACTTTGCCAGATTTAATGGTGCATCTGGAGATATAAAGTCACAAGTAACTATTTATTTAACTCTTGCGGTGGGAATGAACCTCGATGGTGGCCGAAATTATATATGGTACCGTAAAAGTGTCAGTCACAAAGGTTTCTTAAAGAAAAAGACAACATAAAACAACACCCACAACCGTTTTACAATATTCAAACTTTAATTAATTAATCACATTTCCAACCTAATTGCGAATGCAGATCCGAAACGAGAGAAAACACAAGAACAAAAGAAAGAGTTCCAGAGAAATAAAACCAACATAATAGAGCATAAAACAATTAAGGCAACAGCAAGCGTCTTCTAAGTGACAAGAGTGTATGTGGGGCATGTGCATGTTTATGTGAAGCAATAAAAAAAAAAATGCACGACTGGACAATGGGCCAAAGGTAATTACAGTCATTAAAAAAAAACAAAAAAAAAACATTAAATTCAGTTAAATCTTAGCAATTAGATAACAAAATGGTGGCACAAGCAAGATGCTATACTCCATGTATCTCTCATTATCCACTCACAACTTCAATAAACCAAAGCTTCACTCTAAAACATTCAAGTCCCTTTGAGTGCAAGTCTTCATGACAATAGTAATCTTCATCGTCTAATCTTAAATAATTAAGGCACTTCATCTTCAAAAGGTGCAGCAAGGAATGCAACACTAGCTCAGAGCGATGACAGAATATGGCACTGTTATGGCTGTTTCTGTGGAAATCTGATGCATGCATGCACACAAACATAAAGGCATAAGAAATCAAGGCCACAGACTACTTGAAGTTAGGTTGAATTCTCTGAGTGTGAGGATTTTGAGCCGTTTACCTTCTCAAACATTAGCATCCTTCACTGAGCTCTGAATATGGAATTAAAACAGACAGTTCACCCGAAAATGTAGCATGTCCTTTACAGCCCTTTGCATGCACAGCTAAAATCCATGTGCAACTAAGTGGAATCTTTGGATGTAGCCTGATGCTAAACAGACAATACTGTGATGAGTTGTGTAATTGTGTTTTATGTTCATTATTGAAAAAGAATACACAATCGAAACACCGTGCATTCTGAACTTTTCTTAAGTAAACAGTGTTTTTAATTTGGCAAAGCTGAAGCGAAATGGCAAACAATAGGATTTCATTTGACTACACTATAGGCACGATGAAGCTTGTGAAGCATCATAGCAGCTTTTCAGTGACTCATGCTAAAATAGACACCGTTGGCATTTAAGCACTGTGATACGACAATGGACAAGCAATTAGAGTGGTTCAACAAAGAAAGTGAGGCCTTAACAGTCATCTTCAGAGAAACATGCTGGGAATGAAACACTTTGACATTAGGATGTCAACAAAGCAGATGAAAACGAAAGCATGCACCAAACAAAACAATTCATTTCTGCCATTACAAAATCTGCAACCCAAATAACGCAAATCACTTCCCAAGCCAATGACATTCTGACTCGCAGAGGAAGTTATTAGCTGCAAGCTAATCAAGATTATTACATTTCAAATTTCATAACACAGGAATGAAGGGGGAAAAAAATATACAGGCCCTCGGCCTATAAACGTGCCAACACACTACTCAGACAAATGATTTTATGAACAGAGTACCAAACGAAATACACTCAGCAAGGCAGGAATTAGGCGTAGTGTAGGTCAATTCTGCATTTGAATCAAATCTACCCAAAATCAGTAACTAGATTTCAAAAAATCAAACCCAAGCATTAAATTATGAGACTGACTTAGCTCTATTCTAAGACTGCATCAAAATCTTCAGATAATTGTAGCAACAGAAAAACAAAATGACAGAATAAGCAAAACATATCCTGAATGCACTTTTCTAGGGCATATTTCAGTTCTCTTTAGGGTATTTATCACAAAGGCTGCTAAAAAATATCAGGATCAAATTACAAGCCTGTTTTAATCACCCTGAAGTATTACACCTCAGTTTAAGACATTTTAGTGCCTTATATTTAACGATATTGATTCAGTTTATGGTCAAAGAGGTCTGATTATGTACAAATATCAATGTTTTTGAAAGGGAGTGCTAGCATCCAACCAACGTTTCTGCGCTAGCAAAAAAATAAACCTCCAGAACTGAGAGCTTTTAGGAACCATGACACATTATCCAACAAATGAATTAACTTTTAATTATCTACTCTGTATAATATAGCAATCAGTCCAGCCGGCAGACACTAGATCTACATCATCGAAACAAGCACGCATGCGTGTCTATAAACACACTGACATACAGTCACACTTACACAGAGCCTGGCCTCGACGGAGGCCCAACACAAACACATTCACACTTTTAAGGCTCACTTTTAAGGCAGCAAGCCACTGCCTCCACCTAAAAAGGCACTTTGACTCAACTGTCAATCATTCTGAATGGGATCATGGATCCTCCACTCTCATAGTGCCTCATTCTATTCGCATGTCCGGCAGAATCTACTAATTCTAATGAAGACTCATTTCGGCTGTTAGTAGAACTGGATTGGCTGAGCTTTTATTGTTTCAAATCCACATAAACTCCCAAAAGTATAACTTAAGATATGCTGGCAAGTCCCCCAGAATGACAGGATGCTAACTATGGGAATATAATGCATCTCTGATATTACCCAGCACTCCACTGACATATTTGGGGGAGAAAAAAGAAGCGAGATGCCGGTTTTAACTAGTTTTGAGAACTGATGTCTACTGGTTCTCTAACTGTAGATGGTTAACAGTGAGGGACTAAGCTGGGGAATGTAATTTATTGCAACATTTTGGCTCTCTTGGTTGGCGCAAGTAAGAGGAATGGCCAAAAAAGGGGGGGGGGGGGGGTTAAGATCACACACCACACACGGACAGATACAACCCAAAGGACTATGTGATGAAAATTCAAAACAAATTTGAAATGAATGGGAAAAACTTTGTTCATTCAGTCTTGAACTATATAGATATATTTCTGAACATGGTGATGATGAAGGACTTGGTGGAATATTGAAAACCATCAGTCATGGCAACTATATAAAATACTGTTCTAGTAAAGTTACCTGAAATTAACACTGGAAGTTGGGAATAATGCATATTTACTCTGTGTTGGGTGTATTTGTGTTAATGAACTCGAGTGCTTGTGAGAGCTCTAACGTTAACAAACCAAAGCTCAAGTCACAGAAATTAAATGTCAAATATGAGGTTAAACATGGGAAATTACAAGAGTATTTAAAAATCTGTGAGTACAATGTGTCTGTCTCTCTTTTTTGGGTCGGACTGTGGGTTTTGTGGTGCCGTGTGGTGCCTCCAGGTAGCAGTGTGTTACAGGGTGTGGTAGTTGCGATCCTTGGATTTGCAGAACTTGTAAAGGAAAAAGATGACAGCTTGAAGGCCAAGGACTAACACAATTCCACCGATGAAGCTGGCGGCATCAAATGTGGATGATTTGGATGGAGAAGGAGCAGGAGTAGGAGACGCAGACGTGACATCTGTGGAAAGGCCAAATTTTCAGTGAAACTTAAAAGCATAAAGGAAGTGTTTCATTCTTTCAGAGAGCTGTACTTACTTGTGACGGTGCTGTTTTGAGTCGGAACAACTGCTGTGGTGGGGGCTGTTGTGGTAGCTAAGCAGAAAAAAGTGCTGTTCAGAATAATTTTTCTACCTCAGCAATAAACAGTAAAAAAGCAGACACATCAAATTGTATAGCCTGTTCTGTGTTATGAACGGATGCAGGTACATTTTTATATTTTATGGCTCTTTATTTATATTTTATGGTTGATAAAATATTGGCATTGGGCTTTGCAATTGGCAATGGGCTTTAAATTACGTAGGTATGCGTTCTGAGGTGTGTATGAATGCAAAGGAGATGAATCTGGATGGCCGTACCATTGATGGTAGCGTTTGCGGTGGGGCTCACTGACGGGGCCGGGGTCGGCTCTGCAGTTCAGAGAAAATGCACATATTAAACCCACATCATCCCAACATACAATTGGCCATGTCATATTTGCAACTTGCAACTTTATTTTTTTGCAGTTGATGAGTGTAAAAATGATCTTAAGATAGTAGGACACGACGTACCTGTGCAGTTCATACTGATGCAGCCGACTGTTTGGTTCTCAGCACTGCCGTTAACACACTTTGGAGTATCTGAAATGTAGTGAAAATAAAACTATTTATACATCAATCTAAGGAGAGAAAAAACAACAACAACACAAGACCAAACAAAGTCACTGTGCATTTGAAATGCAAAAAAAAAAAAAAAAGTACTCAAACATGATTATCTAAATCTTGATGGATTGACTGAAATAATGTAGCTGCACTGATTGAAGATTTCACAAGTTGGCATTTTTTACCTTACATACCATCAGATAAAGAATAAAATCACAAACACTTCCTGGACTCATAAAGAGGTTATGACCCAGAAATAAGTGGATGAACTGACAGTATGCCATATTGACATAAGAAAGAGATAAAGAGAAAGAGGAGGAGGAAACAAGGAAGATTTTCCAGAAACCTCTGTGTCACCATCAGCTGGTTTCCATTTAGAGTATCCTCCCTTCACACATGAATAGCATTGTGTGCAAATACGACAGACAGCTCAGAAATTCCTACTGATAGCAATAATTAAATTTTTACGCATTGTTTCGTAATCCACTTTACCGACACTGTTGTCTTCCTCATGTTTGTCATTGACTTAAGTTCAGAAAGCCTCGAGAGTCACAACAGTCTAATTCACTAACTGTGCGTACACACATATGTGCTTAAATTCTTGTCACACAGAAAACATATACACCAATTAGTTTATGCTTTTAATTATTTGGAAATTAAATACTTTACAATTATAGGAAAAAAGCAGAATGTAGAACTTCAAATCACGTAAAATAAATAAATCTCAGTATCTATGGAATATGTTAAGTTCGTTAAAAATAGTTAAAAATATATATATATTATATACATTTTCATAAATCAAATAACTATGTTCTCAATGTTTGAGAAATAACGTAGTCTAGGCCTGTATAAAAGATATTTGGCTGTTGCTACAACTTGTGTTGTTTTGTGACTCCTTCTCTTTCAATACGAGTGTCCTGAACCGTGACAGGCTTTGAGTATTTTGTGTCAAAAGTAAACTGAGCCCCACGAAAACATCTTAACAGGTGGGTTAAACTATAGATCCGTGTATGGAAGTACATTGTGTTCTTTATGGCCTCAAAACAGCCAACACTGAGAAAGAAATGTCACATGCTTTTGTGAAAGGTACAACTCTCATGTTGAAATTCCATACTATGACAACACCAAGATGTTTTCAATTCCTTGCTTTCTGAATAAGTGCTTCACTTGCAAAAATGACCATGCATTCCACACTGCTTCTCAGCCCTCAGCAGTTTGTACAGACAGCAAAACAAATTCAGTTACCCAGTCTCAAGTAATGATTGAAGGGAAATGCATACATGTTCATTACTTTAAAAGGACTGAACAAGCACTCTGGAGCAATCAGATGAATGAATATGATGTCAACCGGCCTGCTTTTACTGGTTTTCACAGATTAGACCACAAAAACTGCCACTGAGATTCTATTCTTAAAAGAACAGAGAGAACATCTGTGCCTCTGTCTCAGTACACGTAAGCCAAAGCGAAGCACCATATACATTTTCTGGTTTCTTTATCAAAATAATAAAGAATAAGAATACATATAGTGCCACAAATCTGTAAGAAAAGCACTACATACATATTCTAAACAGGTGTGAGATTTTGGTCAGAAGTTTACATACATGCTATCAAGTTATGATTACATCAGATAAGGTTAGCAAACAAGTCTAATATCTAATGCAACTGATGTATTTGTTGCGCAAACATTGTACCTTCCAGGTCATCTCACCTTCCTCCTACACCCACAAAGAGCCATACGTCAATAATTCACATGAGCGCATTTACAGCTTATGTCACAACACGATGATTTAGCCTGAACATTGTTTTAAACAGGCCATGAAAACCATAGCTTTGTAGAAACACCCTCAAAACGAATCAAAAAGTCCCGTCCTAAAAACAGATTACCAGCATTTACCCCATATTTTGTACCTAGACACAATAAGAAACTCAAAACTATTCGCAAACCTATTTCTAATAATCTAAACACTCTGAAACATTTTAACCTGATTATACTAGTCTGCACTACAGCAGGAAAGACCCAGATATTTCCAGTAAGTTGTTTCATTGAATCAGTGTAAACCGATCGCGTCATCTCTGGGGAGCTGATAGCACAATGCTAACGCTACTGGCTTTGTTATAGGGGGAGGTGCGGTTACAGACACTATACCTGCTCAGGCCCGTCAGACCACTTCTCCTTACTGTCAAGCTCTCATACTTAGAGAAACAATACAGACTCTCTGAATGTGGAGAATGACAGCTGATGTTTAATTTAAGATTGAGAACAAAGCCTGTGAAAGTGCAAAGGAAGTGGTTTATAACTGTATTGTGGTAGACAGTTTAATATAAATGATCTGCTTCACTATTAACCAGAGGACAGATTTCAAAATAAATAAAAAGTTATTAAATAAAAATAAATAAACGACACAAAAACAAACAACAAGCTTACATGCTAATTACATTCTAACTATTAAAACAGAAATGTTTTAACGCTTCAGTGATACAAAACTATGAATCACGCTTTGTCAATTTATACACCTAGGTTTTGTTTTGGCCCTATATCTATTGCATGTCAAGTAGCACAACAATTTCATATATATTAAATTGTATATTGACTAGCAATTTTGCTGTGGTGCCCGGGAGCAATTGGGGGTTTGGTGGCTTGCACATTCTTTATTTATTTATTTCCTTATTTACCCACTGCCACCGCCATTTTGTCATAAATGACTGTGCAGAGTGTGCTGTCAAGCTGAGTGTGGGTATTGAGTGTGTAAGAGAGTATTGAGTGTGGAACAGTGTGCCACTCCCCCCACCTACATTTCCTGCTGGTACAGAGAATCGAACCCACAATCTTTGGGTTATAAGTCAAACTCTCTAACCATTAGGCCACAACTGCCATGTACCCTAGTGTACATGTATCAAGCACTCTTGTTTGCAGTATTCTGCTTCCTTAAGTTATGCTTCAGCTTCAGCTTCTGGTCTGCCTTAACCACCTGCAGAGTGTTCTGATAACGCTGCTCTGATCTGGCTGCATCAAGATAATCGGCACTCAGCTTGACACCACGCTACACACAGTCATTCACGACAAAATGGCAATGGGCAGTTGCAGCCTGACTTGTAACCTGTAGGTTGTGGGTTCGATTCTCAGTACCAACAGGAATTGTAGGAGTTCCACCCTCAATACTGAGCAAGGCACCGAACCAAAATGGCTGCAAATGGCCGCCCACTGCTCTGAGGGTGTGTTTTTATAGTATGTGTGTGTTCCGTGTATGGGTAAACATACTTGGCCTACAAGACACATTGTCACTTAAGTAAGTAAAGTAAAGTAAATAAATAAATAAAAAGTGATCCAACAGTGCCAGAAAAGGTTATTAAGTTCTGTTAAAACTTATATGCTTATTTGCAGCCCTGTAAAGATATTTTGCATCACATGTGGACCCGGTAAACGTTATACTTTTTTTCCTTTTTTTTAAAATATTTGGCACATTTGCTGTCTGACTTCAGTGCAATGACTTTATGCTGGGCCAAAGTGAAAACCTGATCTGATTTTTTGATGCACCTAAACTCAAAATGATTAAAAGTTTAAGATCACCTATGTCTTAAAACTAAATTTTATTTTATTTAAAACAATATAAGAAAGATATTTCATTATTCATTCATTCATTCATGCTGTAATTTGAATTTTCCACTCCTTTCACCCATGATACGGCTACTTTCTTTCTGCTTGCTTACTCTCCCGTTTTTTTTTTTCCTTAAGAGCCTCGAGCACCATAGCAACAGTGTGTGTGTTTTATTAGTATGTTTACTCCCCCTGATTCATTTCACGTCATCCATTAGCAAAGAGGCATGGAGAAGGACTCCAGGGATAAAAGGGCAGTTACTTCAGGCTCACACTGACCGAAGCCAGCATTAAGCACTGAATGAACCGCCAAACACATAAACCCTGGTTTACAATCTCATCTATTATCTGTACACCACATTAGGAATGCTTTAGACAGTTACAGGATCTGTGTTTTGAATCAACAATGTGCAGACCAATGCTAATCATCTGAGATGATTTGGTAGAAAATCCATAATTATAATCTGGGAACAGGAAAACTAAAGGTTATGCTTTTCATTTTCTCTTTATGTAATGGGGAAATACAACTGGATAGCAAACAAAACTGGATATCAACACCACTGAAGCAAAAACAAAGCTATATATTCACAAAAAAAAAAAAAAAAATCACATGCTGCTGGAAGGCCAAATCCATTTACCATTAATGAAATGAGTACTATGCTAAAACAGATAATTCACTGTGACTAATAAGTCAGGTGAAGCATGTGTGCATCATACCAAATAGATCAAAATGTTGGCTTGGAAAAATATAGAAAAAGATTAACAGAAATGTTTCAAGTGTGCTTAAGCAAGCTTCATATATATATGAAGTTGATTGTTGTCATATGAGCCAGTTGACTGTTGTCATATGAGCTTTGAATTTGACATGGAGGAGGGACTGACCTGAGCAATTCATCCATTGGCAGTGAGTCACATTTCCACATGCTTCACAAGATGTCAATGAACCACAGTCTTCATCTGCAAAAGAAACCACGCATTAAATAGCATGCCTAAAAAATGATGAGATTTCCATCAAGCATGTCATATTCAAGCAACACATTGGCATTTTAATACAGGTTTCTTGTGTTGTTGACCTAGATTTGTTGCCAGAGTATGTGTCAGTGTTATCTCTTGGCCTTTAAACCTAAAAACAAGGCACACTGAGAAACCACAAAATATTAGTAACACATTCTCCAAGTCTCTAGCTGAAACATACCGGAGCTAGGGCTGGGTATCGTTAACATTTTTTCGATATCGATACCGATACCGATACCTTGACTTCGATACCGGTTCCTGAACGATACTTTTTTCGATACCAATTTTATGAAATCAATTTTAACAAGATTACATTATCTAACAAAAAAACTTTGGTTTTATTTTTCAGCTTGTTGATGTTTATACAAACTCAAACGGAACTCCACACAGCTCCCGCGCTACTCTCCATTGGAAATTAATGACCGGTCTGTCGCTTGTCGTTTGTCGGAGATAGTGGAAAGCCGGCTTGAAACGCCGTGGAAACGCCAGTACGGTGAGGATCGTTTTCATTTTAGAACATAAACGCACCAGTGTAAATGTAGCCTTACATCTAAGGGGGCTGGGACGCATTCACACTACAGCCTCACGTGTGCGCCACTCTCTGGGTGTGTTCGACTTGACGCGGACCGACTGTGCAGACCGATCGGTGTATTACAGTACCACGAGAGCTAAAGAGAGCAGACTGCTCCGTGCGCTTTCGAATCACTCTCGCGGATGATCAATCTGCGCCGCACCTCTAGTCGAACACACCGGCTAGTGCTGCAGGCTTATTGGCTCACTGACGCTGATGAGATTAACCCCTTAGGTATCGAAATTTGGTACCGAACGACGAGACGTTTTTCGATACTCGATGGTATCGAGGCAATTCGGTCGGTGCCTAAAAAGTATCGAACTCGATACCCAGCCCTAACCGGAGCCATACCCACTTTATGCCAACCTAAAATCTTTTCTGCTAGTGAATTGACACATTTAATCTTAAATTGTGTAGATGTGGAGTAACAGAAAAACTGGCAAGAGGACCAATGAGTCTTGTGACCAAATGAACATGATCTGATCTGATCACACACAAACCAAGGTCATTTAAAAACATTGTGACAGGTTTAAAGCTGATGTGAGATGGAAGTGACGGCAGATTCCCCCCCCTCCCTGTATACATCTCCAGAGAGACGGCAGATTTTTCCCCCCACATTGTGAGTGTAATGAATCACAAAAGAAAGCCCTGTAAAGCCTTGTCGTTTTCACCAAAGGTCCAGTTATGACATTTCGATTAAACATTACAAGGTCAAAATTGCTCACAATAAGATTAATAACATGCATTAAATAGATAAAGAATGAATTTGATTTTCATGCTGGGCCCAAAATGGTTGCGTAAGTAGGCAGCCCAGTAGATTTTAAGACACAGCCCAAGTGCCTAGTGCCTTTGCCCCAACAGAGAGAGAAAGAGAGAGAAAGAGAGAGAGAGAGAGAGAGAGAGAGCGAGAGAGAGTTCTCTGGTTTATTTTACAGCCCAACATGTGATTCTCTGGATAAATATAGATCTTCACAACGCAGTATATCTCAATGGAAGCAAAGCCACAAGACAACAAAATAGAAACCTATATGTATTGGATTACATAACAGCGGCAAACCAGCGATCATTGTGAGACACACGATAAGTGGTTAATTATTTCAGACAGGTTTTTTTAAAAAACGGTACAGTTTGAGTTCAGTATTGGGCAATATCTAAAACACATATGGTAAATCTGAATCACGAAAAAAATCGTAGCGAGGCCAAAGTGCATCACCCGCGTTTAACAATATGTTATTAAAACTAAGGTTGGGAATCAATAACCAGTTCTTTCGAATGATTCATTCAAAAACACCGGCAAAGAAGGTTTTAGTTCTCGATCCTTCCTTCGCTGGTACACTGTAAAAAATGACTGTGAATTTAACGGTAAAAGACTGTAAAAATGCTACAGTAAAATCCTGTTAAATGGTTAACGGTAAATTCCCCTACTATATACGGTGAAAAACTGTATTGGACATTACATGTATTGGACATTAATTTTACGGTAGTATACCGTTTTTGAAAGTGAAAAAGACCGTTTAATTTACAGTGAATAACTGTAAATTGACATTCCCAGAATTCCCTGCGTTATATTTCAAATTTGATGTTTTTTTGTTGAAATAACTATGTTTCTTTTTTGTTTTTTCTTATCAGTTTTGTATATTAGCGTTGTGCGTTACACCTAATGTTGTTCAGTTAATGTTTATTGCATTATTTCAGTTTCATGTGTGTTACCATGATGGTGTTTGGTGTTTGTGTGAATGACACTGTGCACCTTCTATATATGTTATTATTTAAAAGCTGCTTGTGATAGGCTTTGATTCATCGTGTGACTTTCTCATCACCACCTGCATTTGGTGGTTATCAGTGTATTACAAAGGTACAAAACAGATTTTAGTACTTCAATAGGTTGGTATATAATAACATTTTATCAGTTAATGAAATTACGGTATTTAACTGTAAATTTAAGTTACAACCGTAAAACCTAAAACGTTGCTACCATATTTTTTACGGTAAAATTCCGGCAACCACAGCTGCCGGTTTTCTACCGTAAATTTTACGGAATTTTTTTTACAGTGTATGGACGAAACCAATTCAAGACCAAATGCCTCTTAAGAATCAGGTATTTTTGTTGAATCAAACACATGGGCTGTGTTCGAAATGGCATACTTGCTTACTGTTTACTGTATTATGTTAATGCTATATTGCCCAATTGAACTCATTTCATAATTGATTAACTTTACATATTGGACAGAACTGAATCAACACTGAGCTGTCTTTAACTGAACAATGCTATTTTTGGCAGTTACACTAATTGGAAAAAGTGATATATTCTAGTTACACTAAGTGCAAATAATGATAAATTCTGTTTAGCCTACACTAAACAGCATTTTCTTTAGCAACAGGCATGTAAATAATAGTTAGGTGGCAGATATTTATACTCAGTGTTGGGGAGTAACTAGTTACATGTAACGGCGTTATGTAATTTAATTACAAAATAAATGTAACTGTAATCAGTTACAGTTACTAAGAAAAAATGTGTAATTAAATTACAGTTACTTATGAAAATGTTAACGATTACAAAGGGGATTACATTTGAATATTTACACACATCCACATACAGATTTAATTGATTTATT